TCAGTGCTGAGGGATCCAGGAATAGTTTTTTTTCCCAAGTAAAGTCCTTACAACTGCCTCCTTGAGGCAGGGTGGGATTATACCCTGTTCCAAAGATGCATTCACCACTCGCCTTAACCATTCCCCTTACCCACTCCCCTTACCCACTCAGCTAGCGTGGCTTTCTGTATGATATGTTCTGCATACAAATTTAACCAAGAATTTGATGTTCTGCATACAAATTTAACCAAGAATTAAACCTTTCTCTGACATCTTTGCCTACAGGAAACCATTCTCTCTCTCCTTCTTCTCCACAATACGGGTCACACATTAGGACACTGAAGTGCTGAGGCATAACCATTTCTTTTAGAACAACTCATAGTTTCTCATGATCCACACAATCAAAGGCTTTGCTGTAGCCTGTAAAGCATAGACTGATCTTCTTCTGAAATTCTTTGATACACTCCACTAGCCAGCAAATATTTACAATATGATCTTGAGTGCTTCTTCCTTTTCACAATTGGTCTTGAACTTCAGGCATTTCTCATTTCATATGAAGTAAAACCCTTTGTTGCAATAACTTGAGCATCACTTTACTTGCATGAGAAATTAAAGCAATGGTTTTATAGTTAGTACGCTCCTTGCCATCTCCTTTCTTAGGGATTGAGTGCATATTGAACATTGGCAGTCTGTGGACCATTGTTTTGTTTTACTTATTCAGCCATTGTTTTGTGTTCCATATCCACTGACATATTCTTGTTAAGATTTTGATAGATACAATGTGTCTTGAAATAATTGTATTGGTATCCCATCTACCCCAGTGATTTTTTTCTTCCTAATGTTTCAAAGTAGCTTTTACTTCACTTTCAAGAACTACAGATCCTTCATCACAGGATTCCTCTTCAAAGAAGTCGGTTATCCTTTTATTCTGTGTAGGTCTTCAGTATATTCTTTCCACCTTCTCTTTATTTTTTCCTAGTCAGATAGTGTGATTCCCTGTTGGTCAGTCAGCATTCCTAATCTTGGCTTAAATTTCCCTTTGATTTCTTAGATCTTCTGGAAGAAATCTCTTTTTTTCCCTCCTTTTTTCCTGCTCTTTCTTTGCACTGATTTTTGTAGTAGTTCTCTGTCACTACATAACAGTTGCTGAAAAACTGCATTCATGGCTCTTACCTTTTTTGTATCATCTTTTTTTTTGCTTCTTGCCTGTCTTTTAAATTTTTTTAATGTTTCTTCCATTATTCATCTAGACTTTTGTTTCCTCCAAACATTTCTCAGGAAGCAGGATTTGCCAGAAATCCTTCTAACCTACATTTGGCTGAGCTGCTATCAGTAGTACTGTACTCTGACACGAATTTCTTCAGACCAGGGGTCAGGGCTAGTCCTACTGTTAAGCATACGGAGGTAGTCACCTCATGCAGCAGATTGCTGGGTGGTGTGGAAGGGAGAGTGGCAGCGCCCTCTTATCCATTCTCTCCATTGGAAGAGACAGGTGCATATTTCAGGCAGCCTGTACTACGGTGCTTATGCCAGGCAGTCCTATCAGGTTTGATGACAACATAGTTCTGTCAGCACTGCCAGAGATTCAGCTGCCAGTTTGGTCAGCCTTCATAGTTGGAAGTGGCAAGATGCCTTTTTGCTCTTTGCCTCAAGCAAAATGTTTTGGGCTACCTTGCAAGGAGTTTGGATAAGTCATTGGAATAAGGCTGTGGTCAGTTTGGAGCCGGCAGCTATCCTTTTTGTTAATGAAGCGACATATGTGCTGAGACTTATAGCACAGAGTGCTGTCCTCTGAAGATGCCCGCCACAGAGACTGGTGAAACGTTAGGAAGAACAACCTTCAGAACACGGCCAAAAAGCCCGAAAAACCCAAAACAACCACTTATAGCCCTCTTTAAACACAGACACAAACACCAGGTTGCCTGTGAAGCTCTGTGACTGGCCGACACCATGAAACTTCTAGATTGGTCAGGGCAGGCCTAGATAATAAAAGCCTGGCCAGAAGATAAATGTCCTCTTCCTTCTGCAGTTTTGGGGTCTGGATGTAGTAAATAACCCCTAGGAATCAAGGTTATTATACACACCAGGTCACAGTTCAGAAAAGTTATATTTTTGTACTACAGCTCCCAGCATCCCCTAGCCACTGGCTCATCCCACGAAATTCCCTCCAGCAACTGCTGTTCAGAGGTATGCTGCCTCTGAATCTGGAAGCTCCATACAAACATGAGAGTGAAGCTTAGAAAAATTATTTTCTTGGATTACGACATCCAGAATTCCGCCCCCCTTGCAAAAGCCCACTGGCTGGGGAGATTTTGGGAGATGCAGTTCCAGGAAGGACCTTTCCTAAGTTCTGGTCCAGCTGTATACTTCGATGCAGCCCTTGGCCTCTCCTTAAGGAAGGTGCAACAGTACATTCTGCAGAAGCAAGCAAACCCTCGTTCTTGCCACCTCAGTCGATCAAGGCACATCGCAGAGGGTGTAATTAAGTATTCAGTCTGTGCCTTTCCCCACAGACGCCAGGCCGGCTCGGAAGCAACTGTGGCTCAAAGCCAAGGCTAGCTAAGTGAGAAACTCTGAAACTAAGTATGTGATCATTCCATCATTTCCGTTCCCATCACCTACGTTGCAAACACAGTTTAAACAACTTAATAAGATGTGTGTGGTAGCAAGACTGGAACAGACGCTGAGGTCATCAGAGATGACAATTATTTATTCTCCTTTATCGTACTGTGTAAAACATATGGGTGTTGCTCCCCGCTTCCAGATGACTAAGTGCAGACAGATGCTGCACTGTTGTCTTGGCAGAGGAATGCAAATGATGCACGGAAGCCCTTCAGTGGCATCTTGCCACTGTTATAAGATATGATTGGTTCTTCCATCTAGTTGAGCCTCCCCGCTTGGAACTGGTGTGGTTCTTCTGACCAGTCTGCCTCCCTCCACCCAAGGTGGGGTGCTATTCTCATTCCAGCCACTTTGACACTGAGGTGGAGGAAAGGAGCTTGCGAAAGGAACCAGACAAGAGGCTGGGTCTAGGCTCACTCAAATGGGTGGATGGATTTTTAATGAAATATTTCTTTTGGCACTTTGTTAAAGTACCCCCATGGTGCTGTCTTAGGTTTGTGTTTTCGGCTGGGAGGAGGAGAGAAAAGCTGGATTGGTGCTGAAGCTACAAAGTCTGCCTGTAGTCTTAAACAAGATGGAAGCATAGGAGAAAGTAGCAGACTTTAGAGACAGCCTGTGATGGAGGAGGGAAATTATTAATTAATGTGAGCCCTGAGTGTCACAGCAGGAGTTTCTTTCACCTCTGGGATTATGTAAATTAGCATGGTTTGTTTGATGATTGGTCTTCAAGACTTAAGCACAGAATGCCTTTGAAGTCTGATTGCATAAACAGAGAAGACTAGCACAGTCTGTACAACATTAACCTGTTCTCAGCACTGTTTACAGGGTTGTCTCTAATGTCTGTTTCTAGCTTGAGGCACCAATTCAGTATCCACTTGCCCAGGAAGAAGCCTTCTTGAATTCAGCTGGATTTACGTGTGAAGAGTCATGCACTGGATTGCACTGTTGATCAGATCAGGGTCTCCTAGGTGCTATGAAGATTTCAAATTACACATAGAATCACTGGGACAAAAAACCACACAATGACTCATTCACCATTTTTAAGAAGTATAAATTTCAGCTGTAATCGGGATCTATTTTCAGCCTTAAGCAAAACACATAATTCCGTTTTTAGAGAATAGAAGATAAGCATGGCAGGTTTTTTATTAGCAAAGCTAGAGATTCATTTTAGGTGATGTAGCCAGTTAAAAAAATCAATAGAATCCAAATTGGCTAGCATTGCCTTTAGTGGAAGGGAACATAACTCTCAAAAAGTAAAGACTCACCTTCAAATAATAGATTTGGTTTCGCAGTCCTGTTTGTTCTTAAACAGGTAAATTAGTTACTCTCCAAGACATACAAAAAGCAAAGGAAACTAAGTTATTCCACTGAAAATCTTCAGAATCTCATTTTGAAACAGTGGCATGGCCCACTACCTGTAGATAGGTTGTACAGAAGCTTAATAAACAAGTCTCTCCTGCATCCTTCACAACTAAGGTCCAATATGAACTTTATCAGCAGCTTCCTCTTTTTTTGTTGTTCTTTTGTACAGACCACATCTCTTCAGAGTGTAACAAATATATAATTTATTGCATACAAATCCACATAAAATCAATAGGCCATAAAATTTTCTACTAGCCCACCGAGCTGCACAAGCCTGTGTTACTGCCTCACAAGATTTTGATAGCCTAACAAGAACTGTAATAGCAGGTCACTTTCATGTTATTCCCACTCAGATTACTGGAAACAACTGTGTTTTCCTAGAAGAGCAGAGAATACACACACTAAGGAGCCGAATTTAAGATGCAAAATTTTAGGCTGAAACCTGTAGCTCGTTTTTCTGAGAACTCATATTAAACGCAAGCAAGGTTTTTCAAACTCCATTTCCATCTGGCTTTGCGCCTGTTTTTAATGCGCTTTTGTTGATATATCAGCTACAACCCTACCTAGACAGAAATAGCCTGGCAACAGTTTTTCACACTCTGCTAAACTCTCCTTTTGATTACTCTTAGAAAATAGTCCAGAAATGTCAGATAGTCAAAAGCGGAGTGGCTAGATATTTAACTTGGAGTCCAATTAGTACATCCACATTATGCCAGCAGTGGAGCATCTGCTGTGGGTGCCACTCTGGGCTCAGTTCAGATCACTGTTTTTTATAAAGTCCTCAGTAGTTTTGGATCCCTCGAGACACATATCCTCGCATATATTTGTCCTGGCGCACTGTCCAAAGCCATTAGGAGTGGATTATTTGAATTTGCCAGCAGAGAGGGGCTGAAATGAATTTGACCCAGGGGCAAAAGAAACAATGTGAGATGGGCAAGGAAATGTCCTTACTGAGGCTCTCAGGTTTCCCATGTTTTTAAGAGGTGAGTCACTTTTTTTGACGCATACAAAATTAACCTCCCTTCATCCTTTTGCAGCTGACGTACCTTCCGCCTCCGTGGGGCGAGTGCCGCTCATCAGACTTCGGCCTGGATTTCTTTCCCATTTACAGCATCACTGCTTGCAGGATTGATTGTGAGACCCGATATGTGGTGGAGAACTGCAACTGCAAAATGGTTCATATGCCAGGTACGTCTCTGAGAAGGAGCTACCATTATCTTTGAAGATGCTTCTTCCCTGGTTTCTGCAGTTGCAGTGCTACCTGGGACTAGCAAGAGTTCGTAGGAAGAGTAATTTCAAAGCCCAGCATACTCTACATAGGGTGCCTCCTAGAGAACTGCCTCTTCCATGAACTCTTGCGAGTGACAGGTTGCATTGTGATTCCCAGGGTGCTCCAAGGCAATACCCGTGTTGTTCAAAGGCTCTCAAAAGCATGCAGATAGGAGCATCTGCTGTTTCTGTGCTCCTGCTCCCAGAATTCAGCCTGAGGGTTTCTGGTTGAAATCTAGGTGTGGAAGTCCAAAACAAACATCTGACAGTCCCATCCCTAAGCAATATTAATCTTCATAGCAGTGACCATCCTGACAGCTCTAATCTTAGCAGCAGCCTCCATCATAGTTGCGCGTACCACACTGATGGTTTCCACCCTGACAACAGCAATGACCTCTATTGAGAGCACTTACCTTGCTTGTGCCTGCCAATTTGGCCCCTTCTGTTTCAACCCCAGCCTGGGGGCCATCCAGACTTGCAGCCACACCCATCAGGTCTGGTTGGGAAGGGGGCTGTCACTGCCCCTAAGAAAGGACATGGGGGAAGGTCAAAAAGGCATCCATCTACTGGAACCAGTAATTTGCAGGGAGTCCGATATTGTAATAAGGATTGTGTGACCAGCTTCTGGAGCTGTGGTTTTGCCTGCTTGCTGTTGTTTAGTCGTTAAGTCGTGTCCGACTCTTTGTGCCCCATGAACCAGAGCAGGCCTTCCACTGCCTCTCAGAGTTGGGTCAAATTCACATTGGTCGCTTCGTTGACACTGTCCAGCCATCTCATCCACCGTCGTCCCCGTCTTCTCTTGCCCTCACATTTTCCCAACATCAGGGTCTTTTCCAGGGAGTCTTCTCTTCTCATGAGATGGCCAAAGTATTGGAGCCTCAGCTTCAGGAGCTGTCCTTCCAGTGAGCACTTAGGGTTGATTTCCTTCAAAATGGAAAGGTTTGTTCTCTTTGCAGTCCAGGGGTCTCTCAAGAGTCTCTTCCAGCACCACAATTCAAAAGCATCAATTCTTTGGTGGTCAGCATTCTTTATGGTCCAGCTCCCACTTCCATACACCGCTATTGGACAAACCATAGCTTTGACTATGCAGACCTTTGTCAGCAAGGTGATGTCTCTGCTTTTTAAGATGCTGTCTAGGTTTGTCACCATCTGCAGTGATCATGGAGCCCAAGAAGGGAAACTCTATCACTGCCTCCATATCTTCCCCTTCAATTTCCCAGGAGGTGATGGGACCAGTGGCCATGAACTCAGGTTTTTTTATGTTGAGCTTCAGACCATTTTTGTGCACTCCTCTTTCACCCTCATTAAGAGGTTCTTTAATTCCTCCTCATTTTCTGCCATCAGAGTGGTATCATCTGCATATCTGAGGTTGTTGATATTTCTTCCGGCAATCTTAATTCGGCTTGGGATTCATCCAGTCTTGCCTTTTGCATGATGTATTCTGCATATAAGTTAAATAAACAGGGAGACAATATACAGCCTTGTCGTACTCCTTTCCCAATTTTGAACCAATCAGTTGTTCCATATCCAGTTCTAACAGTTGCTTCCTGTCCTACATATGATTTCTCAGGAGATAGATAAGGGGGTCAGGCACTCCCATTTCTTTAAGGACTTGCCATAGTTTGTTGTGGTCCACATAGTCAAAGGCTTTTGTGTAGTCAATGAAGCAGAAGTAGATGTTTTTGTAGAACTCTCTGGCTTTCTCTATAATCCAGCGCATGTTAGCAATTTGGTCACTAGTTCCTCTGCCCCTTCGAAATCTAGCTTGTACTTCTGGCAGTTCTTGGTTCACGTACTGCTGAAGCCTACCTTGTAGGATTTTGAGCATAACCTTGCTAGTGTGTGAAATGAGTACAATTGTACGGTAGTTGGAGCATTCTTTGGCACTGCCTTTCTTTGGGATTGGGATGAAGACTGATCTTTTCCTATCCTCTGGCCACTGCTGAGTTTTCCCAACTTGCTGGCATATAGAGCGTAGCACCTTAACAGCGTCATCTTTTAAGATTTTAAATAATAGTTCCAGTGGAATGCCATGCCCTCCACTGGCCTTGTTGTTAGCCATGCTTTCTAAGGCCCACTTGACTTCACTCTCCAGGATGTCTGGCTCAAGGTCAGCAACCACACTATCTGGGTTGTCCGAGACATCCAGATCTTTCTGGTATAATTCCTCTGTGTATTCTTGCCACCTCTTCTTGATGCCTTCTGCTTCTGTGAGGTCCATACCATTTGGAGGGTTTGATATGTCACTTTGCATGGAGGACACAGACTCTGTGACACATACACAAGATTTTGCAGTTAAGTTGTTATCTCACTTGGTTTTCCACAACCTTATTTAAATTCCTGGTCTTCAAAAACGTTTTGATATCAGGGAAGACGGTTGTTTCTGCTGTGTCCATCACTTAGTTTTTGTTCCCATCCTCCTAAAGCAAAGACTAGTTTTCTAAGCATTACAAAATGAAATATCGCCATCACTTGAAACTTGTATTTAAACACTGGTTGCTGTATTTTTTTTCTTTCAGGAGATGCTCCATTCTGCACACCAGAGCAATATAAAGAGTGTGCAGAACCTGCACTTGGTAAGTTCCAAAGGACAGGAGATTACCTCACCATCAGTGTAGTCTATTACTTAGGTTTTTTGGAAAGGGTGCACTTCCCTTGGGTCTCCATGGCTGGGGAGTTGTTGAAAAGCCCAGTGGGTTGGAAATAGAAATGCAACATTTGTTTTAACATGGAGAAAGAAACACATAATTAGGGGGTTTTGTCACGGTTTTGGCGACAGTAAAATACGCAGAGTTATTGAAGACACTTTACCAGTTCTTCTTGTGTTGCAAGACGGTTGTATTGACAAGTATTTACAAAAATGAAATATCGCCATCACTTGAAACTTGTATTTAAACACTGGTTGCTGTATTTTTTTTCTTTCAGGAGATGCTCCATTCTGCACACCAGAGCAATATAAAGAGTGTGCAGAACCTGCACTTGGTAAGTTCCAAAGGACAGGAGATTACCTCACCATCAGTGTAGTCTATCACAGTTTTTTTGGAAAGGGTGCGCTTCCCCTGGGTCTCCATGGCTGGGGAGTTGTTGAAAAGCCCAGTGGGTTGGAAATAGAAATGCAACATTTGTTTTAACACGAAGAAAGAAACACATGATTAGGGGTTTTATCCACTTGCTTAGTTTCCCAGGCCTTTATTCCACCCATTACCTCCACAAGGCCTTATAGCAGACTTGCCTCAGATGTGCCCTGGGATGGTTTCAGGATGATGTATATTTCTGTGCATTCATTGCCTGCTTGAACTGCCAGAAGCACTGGTGCTGTCATTGCTGCTTTCTCAATTGCATGGGGGTTGGGAACTCTGAGGGCCCCCAGCTTCTCCCATTTGAATATGAGGATCAACCCACAGCTACAGCCTCCCCAATATACTGCCACTCTAGCTCTCGGCTTCACACTGGCTCACATAATTTGCCTGGCCCTGAAACTCCAGACTCTTTGGGTACCAAGGATTGGGGAGTCACTCATAAGCTTTGCTCCACTCCTCTTGGTCCTCATCATCCTTCCCCTTGGACAGGCCAGCCTTCACTTTTATAGTCCGCTCTGCACTTCTTCCAGAATTTTCCCATGCTTCTCCACCCGGTGACCTCACTTCCTCATCCTCTAGGGTCCTGTTACTTTTACCCTCATGGTCAGTGGGCACTGGGGCAATGGTGCCTACCACCAGTTAGAGAGTAAGGGCCACTGGGTCAGGTCAGTTTGTCCCCGGCAGCATTGCCATCTCCTCTGCCCTTTCATTCATGATAGGTGATAAGGAGCTTGCAGAGGTCAGCCCATGACCCGAGGTGCCTGCTCACTGTGAGATCTAAAATTAAAAATGTGCATTCTAGAATTTTCGAAATAGCAAGGAAATCACTTTTGAAAAATGTGCAGAATACACTTTGTTCCACACTAGGCAACAGCAGGTAGCCCTTACAGGCTGACGATTAAAGAGCAGAGCTTCAAGGGCAGATGGCTTGGTTTCCAGGCACATTTCAGTCACAATACTGCTGTTCGTGATCACTAGGCATGGGATTTCTATGAAAACTACAAGATGTTGTGGGATTGGTAGTCCCTCTGCTCATTAGGGTCTGTAAATAATGATTCTGAAAAAAACTACAAATGCCACAACCCTTTGTGGTTCCCCAAGAAACCGCCTCAACCCATTCTCTCACTTTGCAGTAGCTGCAGAGAACATGCTGGGTCTCTGGTGTCTGTACAGAAACCCCTCTGAAGACTTGGATTATTTGGCTGCAGGTGCCTGAAGTCTGGCTGAGGGAATTCCTGGTGAATTGTGGTAGTTGTAGTGAAAAAATGTATGTGAAAGCCCCATGCCTAAGCTGCAGGGAAAAACTGAAATGAATTTGTGGGAGGAACCTCACACATATTCTTTTCTTTTTAATTGCAAATTTGAATTTGGTTGTAAAATTTCCAGTTTTTACTTTGTTCTAATTCCAGATTGTCTCAGTCAGGCATTGGGAGCAGTTGATTGATAGCTACTCCCATCAGTCTTAATCAGTATAGCCACTGGCCAAGGGCTGATGGGAACTTCAGGCCACAACATCTGAAGAGCTGTACAGTCCTTGATGTAGGCAAACCTTTGATTTCATCCAGCAGGGCAGTTCCTTCTGTGTTGCTTATGAATAAGACATTAACAAAACTCCCACTTTGCCTTGCAGTGGTTCTTGGTGAAAAGGACAGCGGTTATTGTGTGTGTCAAACGCCATGCAACTTGACACGTTACAACAAGGAGCTCTCTATGGTGAAGATCCCCAGCAAGACCTCAGCCAAATACCTAGAGAAGAAGTTCAATAAATCAGAAAAATATATATCGTAAGTAATGTTGATCTAAGCAGGGCTGGAACAGTGGTTATGCCAGGGAAACTCAAGGGAGGGCACATGGTATAACGACACATAATATGGTGCTTCTTTGAGAGGTTTCAGCTACCTCATGTTCCAGGTCATCAAGATTCAGCACTTGAGGAGATCTTTGCCCATTTCGAGTGGTTTAGAAGCATGTGTTGGTCCAAACCAGAGAGGCCTTGGCCTCTACAGCAGCAGATGATGATCTGAGGAGTCAGAGACAGGTGAGGAAGAGTTAAGAATGAGGGCAGTCATAGAAAATGGGGGAGTGCTCGAAAAGCTATATAGTTAAGTTAGATCTATCAGATCACCCTGACCTTGTTTTATTGTAGAAACTATTCAGGGTCAGGCCTGCTTAGTAATTGGATAAGAGACTACCAAGGAATACAGGATATTCTGGTTAGAGTAGGCATGTGCCATTCATTTTTTATTTTTTTTGTTCGTTGTGTTTTTCAACTCCAAACCCCAGAATTCTGGGAGTTCCTTCTACCAGACCTACACCTATATTGCCCTTTCTTGGAGCAAGGCTGAGCTAAAAGCTTTTATGGCCTAGGATAGGCCAAGCTCTGGCCTAGTTTCCTGTTAGAAAAGGAAATTGCCCCAGGAACCCTCAGCAAAGAAGCCCAAATTCCCCCCGCCCCCATTCTCACAGGCTCAGGAAATTGTACAAGCTGTAGTTCAAAAAGATGACTTTTCCAAGCTGTTCTGTTGGTCTAGTCTAGAGCATCTGGGTTCAGAGATAATATACACATGAATACCATTTGTTGGGGGGGGGCAGCGGAGTGAGCGGTTCATTTCAGGTCCTTTTTTTAAGGTTTCCTGGGAGCACCTGGGTTGTGGGCTACAGGATTATGGACTAAATGGTTCTTGAGGCTGCCTAGAAGCTATAAGCCATGGGTGGTAGGAAGCCTATGTTATTTCCTGTGTTGTTGGATTTGAGTTCCCATCAGCTCTAGATAACATGGCAAAGTTCATAAAGGTTGGGGTTCTAGTTCAACACCTTAAGGACCACATGCTTCCCATTTCCAACATGATTACTTGATCTTTCCAAATAAAGTTGTTCTCAACTCTGCTCAGACACAACACATATCATAGGCTATTCACTGAGAAGACAGTACACACTTACAGGTCCCTAAAATCTTAGCATCAAGAACAGTAATAGCACCAACCTTACTTGCTGTCATAAGAACAACTTGGTCCTCTTGATCTGCCTGTTTTCTCTCCTTAGTGAGAATATCCTTGTATTGGATATATTTTTTGAAGCCCTCAATTATGAGACTATTGAGCAGAAGAAAGCATATGAAGTAGCAGCTTTACTGCGTGAGTAAAAAGGGTGTGCAGGTGGGTGGGCGGGAGTGTGTGTGTACAACATGGATCAACTTTGGGCACATCTGGATTTCCTTGCCCAAGTTGTCAGACCCACTTTCTATGTGCTTGTGGGTAGTGAGGCAATTGAAACATTAAGTAAAGCAATCTGGGCGAGAGGATAGGGGACAAACAGCAGTAGGAGTAGAATCTCCTTGTCACTCAGGCCACTGAAAAAGCCTGCTCTAGAAGCCTTTGTAGTGGACTACACTATTACCTGATCTATTTGATACATCACTATGTCTTTAATGAATGGGCATAACTATAGGTAGACACGCATAAAACGTAGCTATACTTAGCATGCAAAATGCTGTTGTTCTGTGGCTTAGTTCTGAGCATATGTATATAGAGTGGAGTTATGCTCTATGTGCTCAATGGGGAAATGGCCACATTGGTAAGAATTGCATTTGTGTATGTTCATGTGTGTCCACAGCTGTAGTCCCTAGACATCAAGCATATCAAACCCCTTGATTCTGTGCCTTTGCTTTACCCAGAGTTGGGTAGTGGCATGCAGATTCAATCACCGACTGGCAAATAGAATTCAGCAGAGGATGAATGGCAAGTTTGAGTCTCGACACTGTTGAGAATAGGTCTAGAATTCATGTGCTGGCATAAATCCACCTTCATTGTGATGCTAAGGATTCTACCCTATTTTAGCCATTGTACTAGCATATCTGGGATGTTCTGCCAGTGCATCCATCACTGGAAAAGTTACATTTTAAACTCTTGGAACTTGGAATGTAGCAAGTACTTGAAATATGTCATATTATTTGCGATTTTCTGAATCTCACCATACAGAGCCTTCCAACTGTGGCTTCCCCCTGCATCACTGAGGTTTCCCAGATTCTGTGTTATATTTATTGTGTAGTCTTGTGTTTTGGTTGATTGGTTTTTCATGCATAGTTCTGCATGGAAAAATACTGAATTCTGTGCTGCTTAATCCCTTTTCCAGTCAATCCTACACAGGCAATATACCTTTCTCCACAGAAGGTGCCATACTCATGCATCTGCCCTTTCCAGAGAATCCTGCACAGCTTTTTTTTTCTGTATGAGGTGAATCCTACACCAGAAAAGATGTCATTCTGCACAGGAATTGTAATAATCTGCACAGTTTAGCATTTTTATGGGAAACATGATACCAAACATCCAAAAAATCCCATGCAGTTTCTTTCAAGATTTCTTGAGCGGGTGGGATCTTATGTAGAGAAAGTTTACTTTTGAAGAGAAAAGAGCGATTATTTTCTGTCATTTATGATTGGAAGGGAATACTTCCAAATTTGGAAGGGGGGTGTCCCTGAAAATACTGAGACGTGACTCTCCACCCTACTCAGAGGCTAACCTGCACATAGGGCAGATGGTTTGCATATCTTTCCTTCTCCCTTAGAATTTCAATTCTGCTCAGATCCATAGTCTCTTTCTCTATTTCCCACCTCTCCCTGTCTCCAGCTTTGAATTTCCATCCATCCCTATGTCTCTGTGTTAAAAAAAAAAACACCTTGATTTGTTTGGTTTGTACAAATCATAGTTTTTAGGCCATGGCTATTTTTGGAATTAAAAGAATCAAGTCTAGTTTCTGTTTATTTATCCCAATCTTTTGTAAATGAACATTTAAGCAAATACCCTATTCTCAAGGTTCTTCAAGATTTTCACTTTGCAGACAAGAAACGGAGAGCTTCTTACTGGCTTGTGTAGAACTAACTAGCAAGAAGAAGAGGAGGGATCTGTTAATGTGTTCATCCATAGACACTTCACAGAGGTCCTACAGAGTCTTGAACTGGAACAGCAGGAGTAAAGAAAGTGCAATGATAGTTCTTGAATAGGGAAATGAAACCAAATGGGCAGAGGCATGATAACTGAGAAGCAGGTTGTAACACCATATCAGAATCACAGATGGCTCAAGATTGGAAGAGGCTGGCTGCAAATGTTCAGGGATATAAACTCCAAAGAGTTTTTTAAAAACCTAGAGAGGTGGGGGAAGTGCTTAGAAAAGTTACTCTTTTGAATTGCAGTTGCACTCCAGCATGTTCTGTGCTGGCCGGAGTCCAAAAAAGTAACATTTCCAAGGTCTGAAGCTGGGCAGACAGCAACAGAATTGAATGTACAGCCTTATGCATCCTTCCCTAAGAATAGGTATCATTGAATTTAATGAGATGTCTGAGCCAGTGCTACAAGGCTATAGCTGGAAAGGCCAATATCAAATCAAAATATTATAAGAAAGAAAGCAGGGAACAGGTGCTCACCAATGATATAAAAAGAAACAGTGGATTTAAACGGCAGAGAATACTTTTGGGTGATGGGTTAAGATGAAGTTGCTCATTCTTTTCCAGCTGTAGTACAAATAGCCTAGAGAGGTAGTAGAATCAATTCATTCACTTTTTATATAAAATCTAGACTGTATTTGTGCCTATTGTGTTCTCGTGCTTTCTTTGTTAGCCTCTTTTTATTTTTTCCACACTTCTTTGTGGTGGAGCATTTTATTATTGGCAACAAAACCCAACTGTAGCCTCACATTATCAGATAAAGTGCTACTGCAGCTTTTGAGTGTTCCTGTGTTTTTAATTTAACACTTCCCCTGCAGCCCCTTTTCTTCTTTCCTGATCAGAGTGAGTGAGGGTTGTGATGAAGATCCTATTAATTGCACATTGAATAGCTTCTCTTCATTTTTCCAGTGTCATTTTCTGCTCCTACAGGCATCAGAGTGTGTTAATTAGTGGTTTCCTTGCAACAGGCTATTTGGTTATGCCCAAATTAAAAAACAAACAAAAACAAAACAGTTAGATGGGATAGAACATACTCTTAAGTGCAAGGTCAAGAGCCAAAACTGGAGATTGAGATATAAGAGTCTGAATGCACTGCTCTGCTGTTCAGGCAAGAGTGGACTACCCTGTTCTATTTGAGCTAACCTTCTGGAGGCTTAATGCTGCCTGTTAATCATAGGGTCTGGTATTGCTATCTTCTTAAGTTGGTTTCCGAAGAGGATTCTTCAGTACAGAATAAGGAGATCCAGGCAAATCACTACACAGCTCCCTACCTCACTGTGATATTCTTGGTTCCATTCCTAAAGCCCCTGACTGCAAATGATACTGCCAAGACTGGGTCAGAAAGACTATCTCCTCCCCCGAATGGCCATATGGTTTGTCTTTGGTAAATAAAATAGAGCCTTTTCTTCTTGTCTCAAATCTAGGCACACACTTACCTCTGAGAAATATATTCTGGAAGCAAATACAAATGGTGTATTTAGAATTTACAGTAGTGCCCTCATATCTGTGGGATCCGTATCCATGGTTTCACCTATGCACCATGTAAAAATATTAAATTAGGAAAAAAAAACAGAAATACATATTTCCATGGTGTAATTACCAGAACTGGCTGCTAGAGGGAACACGAGACAATGTTATATACAGTGGTGCCCCGCTAGACAGTTACCCCGCATGACAGTTTTTTTGCTAGACATTGGCTTTTTGCGATCGCTATAGTGATTCGCAAAACAGTGATTCCTATGGGGGAATTTCGCTGGACAATGTTTGGTCCCTGCTTCGCAAACCAATTTTCGCTAGATGACGATTTTGACAGCTCCCTCCACGCTCGCAAAACAGGTGTTTTCGGGACCTAAGCTTCGCAAGACAGCGATTTAAACAGCTGATTGGCGGCTCGCAAAGCGGCTTTCCTATGGCCGATCTTCACTAGACAATGACGATTCTTCCCCAATGGAACACATTAAACAGGTTTCAATGCATTCCAATTGGGAAATGTTTTTCGCTAGACAATGATTTCGCTAAACAGCGATTTCAGTGGAACGGATATCATCATCTAGCGAGGCACACTGTATAGGGTTTGCTCTTTTGTGCAGGTTTTTGGCATCTGTCGGGGGGTAGGGCTTGGAACTGCTCCCCCACTGTCCTACTGTACAGTTAAGTTCCCAGGAGGGAGCAGAGTCTATTTGCTATACATCAGGCCCTGGTGATAATAATGCTTGCATTTCCAAAGCACAGCACCTCTCAGTCACTGAATGTATACAAATGTACATGTCTATGGTAGCGACTTTAGGGATTTTTTTTTTCATCCCCATATTGCCTTATGAGCTTTGCTTCAGTGCAGCTTCACAACTCAGGTACTGAATAGGACTCAGTTTTGCCTTCTTTCCTCTCGCTCAGTGCTTCCCAATCTTGAGTCCCTAGATGTCCTTGGACTACAACTCCCGGAAATCCTGGCCAGTGCAGCTAGTAGTGAAGGCTCCTGGGACTTTTAGTCCAACAACATTTGAGGACCCAAGGTTGGGAGCCACTGTTCTAGCCTATGCTTCTAGTCCAACAACATTTGAGGACCCAAGGTTAGGAGCCACTGTTCTAGCCTATGCTTTGGGCAGGTTTTTGAAGAAAACAAGCAAACAAAAAATTAAAAGTTCAGGCCAGTGGCATGTTCATCAAGTTAAATTCCCCTGTGTTAGCTATCAGTCACCATGAATTCCATCCAGGTCAGCAAGTGGGTTGGTGGAAAGAGCCGGAACAATCTGTCTCCCCTCCACCCACCTGCCTCATATCTGTACTAAACATGAAGGAAGAAAAGAACCCTTTGTGACCAGCACAGAAACAAGTTGAGCTGATATAGGACAGACAAGACTATACCATCCCTCCTTCCTCAGTCTGCTTCATATTAAGACTAGGGATGTGAACAATATTTGCTCAGGTCTCGTCAATTTAAGCTGTTTTAACACAACCAGACACCCAATAAGGAATTTCCAGAGCCTGCCAGATTCTTTGCCTTCAGTGTGTGAGCAAAACAAGGAAGTCTCTTTTTTTGACAAAAATTTCTAAATTTGGGCAGTGTCCTTTTACTTTGAGAAGCAAAACACACCCAAAACGCAACACAGAAGAACTAGGCAATTGTTCAAAAACATGCAAGAAAACCATCCAGCACTTCTAATTCTTTAAACTCTAAGAAATGCAGCAATCACTGTCATAGTTTTGTACAGTGCACACTATGGTGTTATTTGCACAGAAAATGTTCGTGCGAATGTGAAAAAAATTATTTCAGACCAACGGAAAATATGTAGCCAGCAGATGAGGCAGGGGAAAATATTTTCCCATTGTTATGCACAAAAATAAGACAAAATCTAAATCCTTAGAATGGGCAAATGTTCCATTTTCATTTCCCCACCCCACCCCCATACTTTTAAATGTTGTAAATTCTCAGCTATCCAGGTTTAAATTCTCAGCTATCCAGTTTATTAGAATGTATGCAGTTTTTGTTAATTTTTTCTAAAAACAGCAGGCCAAATGAAATTTTTATCCATCTTTGCTTGACAGAAGGTCCGTTGTCTGTTTCTGACGGGCTGCTAAGGAACTAATAGCCTGCATTTCTATACTTGAGGCAGGGCCTTTTTCCTTACCTCAAGTACAGGCAAGGAAAAAAGTGCAAGCTAATAAAAACCTTTGCAGCCTAGTAACTATTCTTAGCTTATGTGCTCGTTACCCATCGTAGGTACTCCTGCATACCCCAATGTGCATGAATAAAATGTCTGCTTCCATGTTTCCATTCTCCTTCCCCAGGTGATATTGGAGGTCAGATGGGCCTTTTTATTGGTGCTAGTATCCTCACCATTCTGGAAATATTTGATTATATTTATGAGGTAAGTCATTTTTTTCACTGCTGTAGTGAGTTACACCTTCCCGCTGTTGATCAGCTATTCTGTCATTAACCAGAATAATGGAGACAAAAGGAGCCCTTGCTTGGCCCAGCCCCACTCTGCCAAGTTTCTTTAAGATCAGCAGCTATGCAAGGAGGAAATGTCTTCTTCTATGGGCCCATCTTTGACCCATTTGTATGTTATGTTCATTTTTCATTTGACTTCCTTTTTCTGTTGAAATATAGATGGAATGTAAATGTAATAAATAATACTCTTATTTATACCTGCACCCTTCCTGCCTACTGAACTTATGTCTCACATGTCCTGCATCCCCATATTCCCTCTTCCCATGCACAGCTTCGTATTTCTAGCCTTTATGACTGGGATCGGCAGTTTCTAGGGGTTAGGGGGTGCATTCCCTCTTCTGAAAAAAGCAGTCCCCTGCTACGGTCCTGAAAAAAAAAATTAATTTTTTGCCTTTAAGGACATTGATCGTTCTCCAGAAAAAAGGTCACACTTCATGTACTCCTTGGTTTGAAGGGAAAGCGTTGTAAAATAATGCCATTTTTGATGACAGTGTTTGGGACAGGTGATGCTATAAGGGGCTGGTGGGGAATACATGTGAGCCATAACCAACTTTGATTTATGATTTCTTGTATTTGAAAACCCCCAACCCATCTCCTAGCCAAATAAGTCAGCCTTTATAGTTCCATGATAAATCTGTTTACTGTTACAACTCTGAAATCATGTATTATTTTGAAACTGCAATTCAAAGATCTTGGTGCACAAAATCCAAACTTTAGTTTCAGATCCCTGCTGTAAAAATCAGTTCGGTTTCTGGATGATGAGGATCTTGCAACTGTGTGTAGTAAAACATTGTCAGTAATAAATTATTACTACCAATTCTAAGCATAAGTCACAAAATTCTAACTCAACATTTTAAAAAGAAATCTATTTATTTATTTAAAAGATTTTTACCCTGACTTTCTTCTTGAAAGGACCCAAGGCAACTTACATCATTAAAAGACAACAGTAAAGGTAACAACAGTGAGTATACAAATACTAAAAAAGATCAAACAAATACCACACTAAAACCTTTTTTTGTTGTTGTTTAGTTGTTAAGTTATGTCTGACTCTTCGTGATCCTGTGGACCAGAGTACGCCAGGCTTTCCTGTCTTCCACTGCCTCCCGGAGTTTGGTCAAATTCATACTGGTAGCTTTGATGACACTATCCAACCATCTCATCTTCTGTCGTCCTCTTGTCCTCAAGCCTTCACACTTTCCCAACATCAGGGTCTTTTCTATGGACTCTTCTCATGAGATGGCCTCATTTATACACTAGACTAGACCATTGCTGCAGTGGCATCATTTTCTGTATACTGTCTTGCAATGCTGTCATTTTGACCCAAATCAGAAGTTACATAAAACTGGAATGAATTAATAGATTCTTACCTCACCAACTGTATTACTTTAAATTGCCCTAATCTGTCTTCAGTTCAATAGCTTTCAAGACACACACACTCAAAACATACACACACTTCAAATGCCAATGCATTTCCATACATAGTTGAAGCACTTGCCAGTTCATATCCAGGTACAATTTATGACAAACACAGTGAAGCAGACTCACATTCAGACACAGCCCACTCAGTATCTTCCCAGTTTGTTTGTTCCTAACACCCAGCAGCATTAATTTCCATGCTATTAATGAATCATAAGATTCTGGTGGACTGTGCTTAACATGACATATTCTCTTGGCCAAGACACAGATGGCAACACCTAAAATAAATCAGAAAGACAA